TCAATCTATTTCAGTTTGCATGCTATATTTACGAAACAGGGAGCGTAGAGACATTGGACGAAAGGAAGCGCGTTTCTTGTTCGATTGTAATACAAATGTACGTAGTTTTATCTGTTTCCGGTCTTCATTTATAATGCAGGGATTCGTGAATGTGAAGGTGCCAGACCGCTGCGCGCGGTTCACAAAATCGGCGCATGCCGGGTTGGGCTGTCTTGCAGTGCTCGTAAAAAGCATTGCTACTCCCGAAACCAAAATTGCAAGGGACACGTTTTCGGGTGTAAACGTACGAGCAATGGATGCCCCAGAGGCTACTAAAGATGTGAGCGAGCCAACAAAATGTGCCGGTCTTGTATCCTCAGGAATCTTCAGGGGGGGGGGGGGCGTCGCATCACCCTTCCCCTCCTGTCGGGGCGACTTGTTGTTGGGAAAGAACTAGCAGCGTGATGTAAAGTTATTAACAAATTCCAAGACAACTTACTTGTTGGGGCACGGCGAAAGACGCCTACCAGGCTTATGGCGTGCTGCCTGGATCGCTGAACAGTTATCTAGATTGCCCGAAAAAAAACTGTGGGTCATACTGTCATTGCCTCGCTTTAATCGAGTGGCCTTTCACGCGCAGTGCTTCAGACATGTTACGCGCTTGTTGTGCACACATCAGGTGGATTTTCATGACTGGACCCAGGTTTTTGAACGATACCAACGTTTTCATAGATGTTTGTGCCTGGTGCGTGATAAGCGACCCATGATCGTCTTGAATGAAAACCAAATTTTCCACATTGTTGTATGATGCTTTTACAGGGCACACGTGCCCGACGAGCTACTATGCGGAAGCGAGAGATGCAAGTACAAACGAAGAAACGTGGACATACCTTTATTTTGTCGTAGGTGGATAAGAACCGCCGCTATTCGTTTGTCCTTACGGAGAGATCTAAATAATGTGGTCATTCGCGAAACTTATCAAAATGACTAGTGCAATGACAGCGATGGGTAGCAAAGGTGGCAGCGACGTACATTATCATATTACTAGCCACCATTTATAAGTTTTTTCAACGGCACCCTTCGTTAAAGCTCCAGCTGGCTTTTCGTTCATCAGATGTCTCGACTTTTTACTCGGTTAGTTATAGCTGCGTGAACCGGACCTCCGCAGTCAAATTACGACCGGAGTTGGAGCGCCAGTAAAAGGCGTCTAAGGGGAGTTTCGGCGTTAATTTTTTTTAGAAACCCGATGAATGATTTTGCTAAAAAGATACCAAAACTGCCTGTGATCGGCTCCCTGTTGGGCAGAAGCCGATACGTTTATTAGCTTTCGTTAAGTGTAGGCTATATGAAACCTGGCCTTGTGGCTCTCTGGCTGCCCCCCCCCCCCCCTCCCCTGTGGGGAGACTTTTAGCCCAAAATACTTTGAGGGGGCACGCATACGCTGCCTCCTACCTTGAACCTAAGCGAGTAGGCCGGCAACTTGCAACCTCATACTCCTTACCCCTAAACAATTGCATAAAGAAGCATGGAATGAAGACCAGCTTGCCCATATACAGAATTTCGATGAGATGAATGCTGCATGTTGAAGCCTTTGATCTAAAGCCAAATCTACCAGAAATTTTTACTTAAATTCTGACCTTGTTTGCTGTCGAGTTGGAATATATTAATATTTTAAGGTGTCTGTTCGCAGTAAATTCCCTGAATGTGTCAAAGTGGGTGTTTAAAGCAGTTACTGCAATTTCACTCGAAATATTACTTGAAAGCACCCACTAGGATGACGTCACATTATCCGTGAGCTGGGATAGCTGCCAATTTTTTTCCTATGACACCACATAAATTGTTGACATTTCAAAGCTATTTTCTCTCATGTAAGTGGACTGCCGCTCACACTCCTCCACAGGTAGTCCCATGTTCAGGGTGTCCCGGGACAGGTCTCGGTCCTGCAGGTCAAATCTAGTTGAGACGAGCAGGTTGTTGCTGATTTTGATCTTCCGTTTCAAGATCTTCTTCAGCTGCTCTTCCAGCTGTGGCAGCCTGCCAGATTTTGCCACGTGGATGTTCATCTTCAGGAAGATCCGGCCGAAGGCACACAGCATCAGGTGCATCTCGCCGACAATGACCCAGCTGGTGGCGATTTGGGCTTAGCAGCGTACAGCCCTTCATGTCTTGTCAATCTGCCGCCTTCATTTTCCATTCCTCAGTTTCTGGCCCAGGGCGACAATGGGGGCGATGATGCGCGGCTCCCATGTTCGGTGTGCTTTCTGGTCTTGTGGACGGTGCGGTGTGGACATAAAAAACACGCACTTCTCCGATCGTACCGAGCACCATCAAGACAGACTTGAGGTTGGCGCCCCGGTAGAATTGGGCGGCAATGCCGTTGATGTCGCGCAGGTCCCCAGGCTCCTTGTCGATCCGCATCAGAACAGCTACCAGCTCGGGATTCTCGTCGCCCTCGTCACGTTCGGCGCAGGCCACGACGCTCCCCGACCGTTGGACGGGCAGTGGACGGATCAGTTCCACGGCGATGTTGACGTACCCGACCTCTCGGTAATTCGTGCTCTCGCCACTGATTTTGAACCAGGGCCTGTCTGGTCGATCAACCTTCCGCCCGGTCAGCGAGCGCCTCAAGGCTGCCAGCAGGGGCGACTGCGACGAGGGTGGACAGCGGTCCACCATGTCGCCGCCTCGCTCGACCTCCATGTCGTGTGCCACTCCCGCGTAACCCGCTACATTGGCGAACCGGCCCGCCGGACGCCGCGACGCGACGCCGCACTTCGGGCGGCGGCTCGGTGACATGAGCCGTCACCGTCACCTTTTTAGACGCTTTCGATCACTTTGCTTCCATGCAAAAGCCTACCTGACTTTCGACGCGTTTACAGACTTTCCAACGCTTGCTTTTCTGCTGCAATGTTCTTCACAACCTTCCGCGAACGACAGTTCTCTGCGAACATCTTATTTCAGAATGTAGCACCGCCTTCGTACTGTCACTCGAACTTTGATCGCGAATCTTAAAGCTGACTTCGCTTCCGTCCACCAGCTCTTCGATACTCCCACCGGTGTTAACGCTGATAAGATACAAGCCTGTCAGTTTTAACTTTCAATGGGTTCAGCCTTAAACAGCGTTCTTTTTCCAATGCTGCAAAGCTATTTCATCACAGCTTTGAACGAAACATCAAATAATTATACGTTAAACATGGTCACTTATAAGGGATGCATACACACTACAAGAGCTAACGCGTCACCATCCTACCTCCACATTAACTCAAACTTTTTTCCAACTTTCTCCGAGTTACTCGTCTGCGTCAAGCAGTGTGAATATCCATAATGATACGTATTCTTATTTATGTTGTCACTAGTAGTGCTGCACTGTTAGTTTGAAGTAATCTGCAAGGCATGAAATGGTCTGAACGACCTGAAACGCCCCAAATCAATACAAATTAAAGTTAAAGCTGCATTGGATTCCAAAACATAGTCTACCATACAAGCCATTTCGGACTACGCAATCTGCCCCTGCCGCAAATACGTGTTTCTCCCTTTAAGTGTTGGTCGGCACTGTCGCGGTACAGGCAAAAATGTTTCTGATTGGATCAGCACTGCCAACGCAAATGCGCTAGGTCCCGGCCAATCAGCCACAACCAGCCAGTTGGCAGCGCGCGTACTGGGGTGTACGTTTACACCCTAGTCTTGCTCTGCACAGGGGCCTGGGCTGAAGAAAGTTACCGGTGTAACTGACAGTTTTCTATTCGTCACGGACGATTATCTACTGGACGATGCGCATCATGTCTGCTCATTATGCTTCCCACGTTGACAGTTGGGATAGAGACACGTAAATACTGCGTAAACTGGGTTCGTGTTCGCTATGATTCAGCACCATGCTGAACTTGCCGCCTGGCAGCTAGCATGACATCCGCAATCTACAAAACATCGCAAACCTGTACAGGGTTTGCTATGCCAGGGTTGTGGCAACACGTCTAGTTTAGGGCGGCGTTTATAGTTATATTAGCTGAAATTCCTGAG